GGCGGACTCTCAACCACTGCACCACCAGGGAAGCCCGGCAGGTAGATTCTTAACCACTGAGCCATCAGGGAAGCCCTGAATGCTGACTTTTAGTGACAGGATGCTCACTCTCTCCAAGCAACTGATGTCGTTTTTGAAATGCTCTGATTGTTAGATAAGTTCTTCCTTACATATTTGCAATTTGTCTCCCTATAGCTTTCCCCATGCTAGTGACCTCTAAGTTCATGTATGTGAAGTCTGATCCATGGACAGCTCTTTAAGAAAGCTCTCAACTTCCTTTGCTTTTCTCCTCTACAGACTAAAACCACCCCCTCCTCTTCTATTGTTCTCATCCATCACATTCAAGATACAACACCATGCTGGTCTTCATATTTTTATGCATGTAGAGTAGTGCTTAAGCACCCTGAGGCCTCAGACAGTCTGAATTTGAGTACTGGTCCTGTCACTGAGTAGCTGTGTGACAGTGTGCAAGTTACTTTCATTTCTGTAGCCTCAGTTTTTCTCTCTAAAATGAGGATGATAATAGGTATACCTATCGTTAGAGAAGTTATGAATCTGATTGATGAGGAAATACAAATAAAATGTTTAGTACAGTACCTGGCACTGAGTAAGCAATATTACTAGTGCTATCACTAATAATAGTAATAACGTTCACATAATTAGAGTAAGAATGAGTATTAGAATCGGCGGATTTAGAAAAGTTAATCTAGTCCATTTATGACTCCATAAACAAGATTTGGTTGCCCTGATATGAAACTTTCCATACTTTTCGTAATGATCACTTTCAAGTGTGTGTTCATTGTCAGACACGCCCCAAGGGGGCAGGGACCTTGTCTGTTATGTTGACTGCTGAATACTTGGTGCCTAGAACAGAGTGCCACTCACTACTCTGAGTCATAGAAAAGGCAACTGGGGTGCAGGGAGACTGGCAGATTTATCTAAGATTGCGCAGAGGGCTCCCAAGAGAGCTAGGATAGGAACCCAGAAGTCCTGGGCAGGCGGCACTCAGAATTAAAATCAAGGTCCAGCCCTAAAGTTTGGTGATTCGGGAAGGAGCACAGATATTCAGGGATCCTGGGGTCAACATTCCCACCGATGGCCTAACTGCCGGTCCCTGTTTTGGTGCTGAGTAGCCCGAGGGAGGAGTAGGTGCCTAAATGAGAAGTCGCGGGTGGGTGGGTCACCGGGCGCAGCATTGACACCCACTTGCAAGGCTTCGCGCTGGCTGCGGGCCAGCGCACGGCAGTTGCTGCAGTCGCCGGGCCACCCCGGCTGGGACCCACTGCAGGGAGCGTCCAGTGGAAAACAACCTGCCTCCAGTCGGACAATTAACAAAGGCGAGAGCTGGGGCCGCGCCCTCTCGGCACACGCACATACGCAGCGTGGGCAGAGCCGCGCCTGTCCGCGCCCTCCCTAGGAACAGCGCGCGCAGGCCCCAGCGCGGCGTGGGGCCGGGATACCGGCGCCTTTCCTTCCCTGGCTGCGCAATCGCCAGGGCGGTCGAGCTCCTTCCGGCAGCTGGCACCCTGCGCGAGCGGTGAGTCCGCCCGGGTGATTGGGCCGGCAGTATAGGGCCAGGGAGGGTCGCGGGAAAACAGCTGCTGATCAGATCCGGAAAGGGAGGTTGGGGGAGCGCTGGAGCGACGACGCCGGTCCAGGTTGCTCGGTAGCTAGCTTTGTGTCTTGAGTCTAATGGGAATGCAAGCAACCTGATCCAGCGGACGCAAGCGGGTCAGTTTACAGGTGGAAAACTGAGGCCCAGAGAGGTAAGCTGGCCTGGCATTGTTTATCCCTCTGCTTCAGTGTAGCATTGGGGGCGAGTTTTTAATGACTTCATATACGTTAAAACAATGGAATAATACAAACAATGGTTAAAAAAAGTTCTTGACAAGGAAAGTATAATTATAAATAGGGAGTCAAGGCCAGGGGAAAAGAGAAAGGAAATCTGTGGTCCATAGGTGAGCTGCCTGGGCCAACAGCCCTCAGAGACGTAGTGCCAAGACTGGGACTGGAAGCCAGAACTTCCGATCCCTGCCGCACTGCTCCCTGGACAGTGAGGGCCAGGAACTTAGAGAATGGGGAAGGTGACAGCCTGCCTAGGTGCTGGCTCTTAACCTTCTTGGGATCACTGACTCCTTAAAAATCTGGGTCCCCTCCCCAGGGTTCACACATAATCTTGCACACAGTTTCGGATTTGACAGCAGGATGAAGCATTC